AAAAAAAAAAAAAGATAAAAATAAATGGAGGAAGAACTTCCCAGCAGGGCTCACAAGGCCTTGTGTAAAGTTTCCCACATCCCCCTTCCTCTCTTCCCACCATGCACCCTGCATTTTTGCTACCCAGCTTACTCTCATCTCTTCTTGTACTGAGTACTGCCCCCACCTCTGGAGGTCAAGGACTCCTTGCTGCCCTAGGAGTTTCAGCTCAAACTTCCTGAGCTTGGATAGGCTTTTTTCTCCAGTGCCCAGCAGGAGATCCCACCTTTTAAACGCTGAGGGGGGGGGGGGAAGAATGGGAAGGGCCCAGGGTCACAGCAAGGGGAAAAGCCAAGAACAAGAGTCAGGAAAGCTGACTTTATTCTCTTTCCTATGCATTCCAACCCCTATATATGGGTCAGAACCACTGTGGACTTGATACCACAAAAGAATCTAAGGATTTAGTAAGTGGGAAAGCCATGGTAAGGGAGTACACACAGTATATAATCACCACCTTTACGTCTGAAGGTACACAGATTCCACATAAGCTTTGAGTTTACACAAGAGAATTGGCACTGGCAGGCTGAGGATTCCTGGAGCCAGGGCCTTGATGAATGCTGGAGTGGCAGGTACTTAGCTGAGGCCTGCAGGGGAGGATGATAGGGCCCGGAGAGGGACAGTCTTCTGGGCAGAGAGAAGAGCAGACAAGCTCACAGCCCTCTGGGAAGGAGTCAGCCGGCCAAGGATGGGTCATGGTGGCCAGGCGCTGCTGCAAGCACTCAGCTGTCAGCCGGGCTTCTGGGTCTGCGTCCCAGCAGTCCTCTAGGAGTTCCCTCAGCCCACCAGGGTCCTGGGAGGAATGATGGAGAGGCAGGCTTGACCCTGGAATTTTTTTTTCAATACTGGGGGTTGAACCCAAGGTCACTCTACCACTGAGCAACTCTCCACCAACCCCTTCTAAAAAATTCTTCATTTTGGGCTGGGGATTTAGCGCAGTGGTTCTGCCACCTGCCAAGCAAGGTCCCGAGTTCGATCCCCCATACCAATAAATAAATAAATAAATAAATAAATAAATAAATAAATAAATGAAACTCATCTTCAATGTCCACCATAGCTGCTTTTTGGTGGGATTTTTGTTTTGTTTTGTGTGGGTTTTGTTTTTCTTTTTTTTTGGTACCAGGATCAAACTCAGGACTTTGCACTTGTGACGCAGGCAGCCAAACCACTGAGCTAAATCCCCGGCCCTCTTTTTCTTCCCTATTACTGGGATTGAGCCCACAGCCTTGGACAGGCTCTATTACTGAACTACAACTCACCCCCACCACTCCTGTTTTCAGCACCCTACTTCCAATCCTTTCTGGAGCCTCCTTCCCCTCCCCCCACACTGAAATTCAGCCCTGAGGCTCATTCCCTAGGAGACAGGCTTCATGGGTACCTTGCATTGGGGTCCACCTTCTCCTCTCAGAAGCTAATTCAGGCTGACAACTTAGCATGCTACTGAAAAGTTACCCTTGTGTTTAGATGTCCCCCTAAAGCCTCATGCACTCATAGGTGGGGCTTTTTAGAGCTACCTGGATCTAGGGCATATGATACTGGGATTAAGCCCCAACCTGGGTGTGGGTGGCACTAATCAATAGGCTTGAGGCTAGAATGGACTATAAAGGGACAGAGAGAAGGCAGGCTTGCTGCTGCTTGCTGCTTCACTGTCTCCTGTCTGCTTTGCCATGCCATGGACGGTTTCTCCTCTATAATTCCCCTTTGTCACGCCACCCTGCCTTGTAGCTAACCTACTATGGACTGAAACTCACTATAAACTTTGAGCTGAAATAAATCTTTACTCCTTTAATTTTTTTGTTGTTGTTGTTTGTTTGTTTTTGGTACCAGGGATCAAACTTGGGTCCTTGCCCTTGTGAGGCAGGGGGCGGAACCACTGAGCTAAACCTCTGGCCCCCTCCTTTAATTTGTAGTGTCTAGTATTTTGTCTCAGCAATGAGCAAGGTAACTAAGACATCCTCCTTCTTCTCAAGCTACCAGGGTCTTCTGCGGACAATGTCTGGCTTCCTTAGCTAATGCAATAGACACATAGGCAGTAGATATTTTAGACTAGATAGCAGGAAAAGGGACATCTCATTAAGAAATAATGTGTTGGGGCTGGGGATTTAGCTCAGTGGTTCCGGCGCCTGCCTAGCAAGCACAAGGACCGGAGTTCGATCCCCAGTACCAAAAAAAAAAAAAAGAAAGAAAGAAAAGAAAAGAAATAATGTGTGCCCTGCAGGTGGTGGCACATGCCTGTAATCTCAGCACATGGGAGGCAGAGATAGGAGGACTGCCGAAAGTTCAAGGCCAGCCTGGACTGCATAGCAAGACCCTGTCTCAAAAAGCAAAAAAAGCCCAGGGGAAGCACACAGGTGCAGTGAATGTGTCTTGATTGTCCTCCATGTTGGCTCCTCAAGAGCTTGCCCTCTCTAATTGCCTACAAGATAACTAATCAACTTAACTATCTACAATCCCAGCACTCAGGAGGCTGAGCCACAAGGATCACAGTGAGTTGGAGGTTAGCCTGGGCTATATAGTGGGTTCAAGGCTACCCTGGATCACAGTGAGACCCTGTCTTTTTTTTTTTTTTGGTACCGGGGATTGAACTCCGGTCCTTGTGCTTTCGCAGCAGGTGTCGAAACCACTGAGCTAAATCCCCCGGCCTGGCCCGAGACCCTGCTTCTTTTACATTTTTTTTTTTCTTGGTACTGGGGATGGAACTTGGGTCCTTGCAGTTTGCAAGGCAGGCAACGGAACCACTGAGCTAAATCCCCGGCCCCTAAGACCGTGTCTCAAAAAAAAAAAAACTAAAAAATTTTAAATTAAAAAATGAAATTAAATAAATTTCAAATAAAATTTGAAAGAGAAAAAAATAAATTATTTGTTCAGAACACAACTTTGACCGTGAGGCCTCTGATCTAACCTTTCATACCTAGAACTAGTTTTTGATAGTACTTCAAATTGAACCTAGAGGCTAGAGCATGTCAGGCAAGCACTCTACTGCTGAGCTACATCCCCAACCCTTTTTAAACTTTTTAAATTAATTAATTAATTATTTATTTTTTGGGCACTAGGAACCAAACTCAGGGCCTCGCTATATATATGGGAGTGCAAGGGGCCGGGGATTTAGCTCAACAACAAAAAAAAACCTAAGTGATATATGGGAGTGCAGAGCTCTATCTCCAGTCCTTTTTTTTTGGTACCCGGGATCGAACTTGGGTCCTTGCGCTTGTGCAGCAGGCGGCAAAACCACTGAGCTAAATCCCCAGCCTTCCAGTCCTTTTTCATTTGTGTTTTTTTTGTTTGTTCTTTTGAGGCAGGGTCTCCCTTTGTAGTTCAGGCTGGCCCTGAACTCACTATGTAGCCCAGACCGACCTCAAAGTGATCCTCCTGCCTCAGCCTCTGGAGTGCTGGGATTACAGGTGTGTACCACCACACCCAGTTCTGTATTTTATTTTTTGTGCATTGGGGTTGAACCCAGGGCCTTCACACTGAGCTCCTTCTTACTTTTTCATTTTGACACAGGGGCTTGCTGAATAGCTAAATTGCTTGGGCTGGGCTCAAATTTATCCTCTGGCCTCAGCCTCTGAAGTAGTTGGAATTACAGGCATGCTGCCCTGCACCCAGCCTAGGACTGGCTTTTATTGCATCACAGCAGAAGCATAGATCTATGGCACTGAACAAGGAGTCCTAGTTGGGTTTCTGGCCTCTGCTGTATCAGGAGAGGCACCATTGAGGACAGAGCTCAGGGAAGGAGCAGTCAGGGAGGGCTTCCTGGAGGAGAGGACTGAGGAATAGGGCTGATGGTAGAGAGGAGAGTCAGGTCAAGGCTGAGCAGGAAGGTGGGTATCTCAGGTGAATAGAAAGAGCTTTGTGAGACAGGGTAGAAGAAGGTAAAAAGAAGGCCAGTGCAGTTTCCCCGGTTCCAGGAGTGGTGGGAGATGAAAGGAGGCAGGAATAGATGAACTGGCCCGGGGAGAAAAGTCCTTGAAGGCCCCACACACCCTCACTGCTCCAGGTCCCCAGCTGGCCAGTCTGAGGCCTCTTACTGTGGTAGAGCAGCTCCAGGTAGATGGGATGTAAGGGCGCCTTCTCTCATCTACTGCCAAGGCCCAGAGCTCACAGGTGGTGGGGGCGCTGCCCAGTTCTGCCTCATAGGCTAGTTGGAAGGGTGGTGGCCTGTGGTCTGCGGGAAGGGATAGGGCTATTTGTCAGCTTGCCCCAGGATGCCTCCCACATCGAGAAGCTGCCTGGAAGTAGGTCAGGCAGTGGGTGAGCCTAGAATGAGTGGACAGGGAACCAGGGGTAGAGACTTTACCAGGGCTCAAATCTAGGCACCGGCTCAGAATCTCCCACAAGAGCAGAGCCAGAGAGTAAACATCTGCTCGCCGGAGGGCTGTGCCCCAGTCCTGTAGGTCCAGAGTCTTGTCCAAGAGCTCTGGCGCCATGTACCTGTAGGTGCCAGCCTAGAGAGAAAGGTGTGGAGGGACAAGAGTCACCTCTATGGTGAACTTCACTGCAGCCTGGGTCCATGCAACACCCTCCCTACAATAAGCTCAGCATAGGGCCGGGGATTTAGCTCAGTGGGTCCGGCACCTCCCTCGAAAGCGCAAGGTTCTGAGTTCAATCCTCAGTACAAAACAAAACAAAAAAAACAAGCTCAGCATGTCCTTGCTGCCATAGGCACTGCCACACTATTGCCACACTGCCCTGGAGCTCCACTGACATCCCCGCCTCCCTTGTGTTCAGAGCACTCACCTCCATGATGGCAGCTGGGCCTGGAGGTTGAGTAGGAGCCCAGGTGGGAGGCTGGGAAAGGCCAGGGAGCACCAAGGCAAGGCCCAGGTCTCCAATGACACATGACCCGTCTTCCCGAATGAGCACATTCTGGCTGCTCAGATCACGGTGGGCAATGCCTGGTTTATATTGGCCTGTGGGGAGATCAAGGCTGAAAGCACCCGAGGATTTTCTGGCTCTCTTTTGACCTCATCCTTCCCTTCCAAGCTGAGGGAGAGTTGGACACATAGCAGTGTGGCTCCTGAACCCCTTGGCTTCCTGCACCCAGCTCACCCACCATGCTGCCAGCGCTCCTCATGCAGAAATGCCAGGCCCTTGGCCAGGGATACTGCCATCCTCAGGGAACTTTTCCAGTCACTGGTGTGCTGGGTCAAGTAGTGGCAAAGAGAGCCCTGGGGGGAAGCAGAGAGAAGAAGGACACACAAGCTAGAGGTGGCTGATTTCGAGCCCAGGGAACAGAGCTCAATTGACAGACTCTCCCCACCCCTATACCTCCCCTACAGAGAGACATTCTGATAGGTCCAAGACAAGACAACTGACAGGGGAAGAGTGAGGAGGTGCACCAGTCAGATGGGTGGGAAAATAATAATTCTATATCAATTGTACTAAGCAGAAGCTGTGACCCAAGTTCTGTGCATGTGGCTTTCTGGAATTCATTAATTCACTATGTAGTCCAGGCTGGCCTCAAATTCCCGGTGATCCTCCTGCCTCAGCCTCCTGAGTGCTGGGATTACAGGCATTCGAAACCACACACAGCTTTAACTTGATTCACTTCTGTGTCCCTTGCTAGCCTAGAAAATTTGTAAAGGCAGGGACTGTGTGTGCTTTTCTCAGCATCTAGCACAGTGCCTGCCATATAGTTTGTAAATATTTGTAAAGGGAACATATGAATGGGTTGGAGTGCTATGCCTGGAGATATAGATTTTTTTTCTTTTTTTGGCAATACTGGTGATTGAACCTAGGGCCTTCTCACTGATCTACATCCCCAGCACTTCCTAATTAATTAATTAATTAATTTTTGAGACAGGGTCTCACTATGCAGTTCAGCCTGGCCTTGAACTCACTGTGTAGCCCAGGCTGGCCTCAAACTTGCAGTGATCCTCCTACCTCAGCTATCCATGTCCTGGGATTAGAAGTATGTGCCACCATGCCCGGCAATTTTGTTTTGAGATAGGGTCTCACTAAATTACTAAACTATATAGCAGGCTGGACTCAAATTTGAGATCCCCTGCCCCAGACTCCCAAGAGTGTTGGGATTACAGCACTAATTGACCACATCCAGCCCCTGCCCTTTTTAAATAAAATTTTAAAAATTCTGAGACAGGATCTTGCTAAGACTAAGTTGCCCAGGCTGATTTTTGTTTTTTGTTTTCTTTTGCTTTTTGAGACAGGGTCATGCTATATAGTTCAGGGTGGCTTTAGGCTTACTACGTAGTCCAGGCTTGCTTTGAACTCTTGGCCATTCTGCTGTCTCAGCCTCCTGAGTGCTGGTATTACAGCATGTGCCACCATGACTGGCTTCCAGGATGGTTTTTTGTTTGTTTGTTTTTTCACTAGAGGTGTTTTGTTTGTTTGTTTTTTGGTACGGGGGATCAAACTCAGGACCTTGCACTTTCGAGTTAGATGGCAGCACCACTGAGCTAAATCCACTGCCCTGTTTGTTTTTGAGACAAGGTCTCACTATGTACAATATTTCAGGCTGGCCTTGAACTCATGATCTTTCTGCCTCAGCCTCCTGTGTGCTAGGATAACAGGCATGTACCACCACAGCTGGCTTCATGTTAATATTTTTAACCCATAAAATACAGATAAGGGAGGTAGGATGTAGTAGGATGTGTGCCTGTAACCCAGTACATGGGAGGCTGAGGCAGGAAGATTGTGAGTTTGAGGTCACCCTGGGCTTCATACTGACTCTGTCTTAAAAAACCAAAATAATGGGCCTGGGATTTAGCTCAGTGGTTCTGCTGCCTGCCTTGCAAGCAGGAAGTCCCGAGTTCGATTCCCGGTACCAAAAAAACAAAACAAAACAAAATAATAATAATGGCCAGGTGTGGTGGTGAACACCTATAATCCTAGCACTCAGGAGGCTGAGGCAGGAAGATCACCATGAGTTTGAGGCCAACCACATACTGAGACCCTGTCCTAAAAACAAACAAAGAAAAATAATGTCAATAACAATAACATGAGCTGGGTGAGTGAGCTGGGTGAGTGGTAGTGCACCTATAGTCTCAGCTACTTGGGAAGTTGAGGAAAGAGGTTCACTTGAGCCCAAGAGTTCAGGGACCAGCCTGGGCAGCACAGTGCCACCTTAACTCAAAACACAATCAAAACAACAAACACTGGGCTGGGGATTTAGCTCAGTGGTTTCGACGCCTGCTGTGCAAGCGCAAGGACCTGAGTTCAATCCCCGGTACCAAAAAACCAAAAAAAACCAAAACAAAACAACAACAAACATGTATTGCTTGTGTAATGAAAAAGAAAAAATTGGGCCAGGGATTTAGCTCAGTGGTTCCGACGCCTGCCTCCCAAGCACAAGGACCTGAGTTCGATCCCTGGTACCAAACAAAAAACAAACAAACAAAAAAACCGAAAAAGAAAAAACTGATTTAAGTGCTTAGAGAAGAGAAATTTTAAAGCAAAAAAGTAAGTGTGGAATCCCACCACTCAGGAGGCTGAGACAGGAGGATTGCCATGAGTTTGAGGCCACCCTGGGCTGGATAGTGAGTTCAAGGTCAGGCTGAACTACATAGAAATATCCTGTCTCATAAAATTTTTAAAAACCCACAAAAAAGTCCCAGCACAAGGGAGGCTGAGGCAGGATTACCTTGAGTTCAATGCCAGCCTGGGCTATATAGTGAGTTCAAGGCCAGCCCAAACTATATAGAGAGACCCTGTCACAAAACAAATAAACAAAAAGCAAAAAAGAATAACTGGGTAGGGCCCCACCTCCATTCACACACACAGGCATACACATTAAGCATACAGTCCTTACTCTTCACCTTAGGGTGTAGTTCCAGTACCAGCAAGGGCCCAGACGGTAGAGGGCCACAGCCTCCCTGGCCAGCAGTGATAAAGCAGACAATGTGGTCGTGCTGTAGGCCTAGCAGCTCGTACATCGCCCTCTCAGATCGGAATTGGGCCACAGCCCTTGGAGGGAAGGCCTTGATGGCTACCAGCTCACCTTGCAGCTGCCCGGCCCACACTACTGCGTGACGTCCTTCCTGGATTACCTGAAGGGGACACTGTGCTGGGTGCAGGCCTATGAGCTAGGCTAGGCTTCCCAGCACAAACTTCAGCAGTGCCCAAAGGGTCCTTTCCTCCCACCGTGGGGCACCTGGGAGAAACACAGCTCAGGCAGCTCCTGCAGCTCTTCACTCCAGTATCTGTCTGAGTCTGGCTCTGGCTCTGGCCCACCTCGAACTCTGTGAGTCTTTCTTTGCAGTAGGGCTGGGGCAGAGAAGGGCCTTGGGGTCAGAATGCACAGGCATATGGATGAGGAAGGGGACTTTGTGGGAAGGGGGTTTTGTGCCAGGTAATGGGAGGCAGGCTGTGGGGAGGTCCTGGAGAGGGGTCAGTGCTTTAGGGCAGGGTCTTGGTGTAACAAGAGAAAGATGGGGTAGATTAGTACCCAAGACAATACTGCCCAGCAACAGCAGGAGGAGGAACAGTCCCAGGAGCACCAGTGCCATCCAAATGGACTCACCTGGACAGCAAAGCAAGAATGTAGGTGGGTAAGTACTGCCCCAAGCAGCTCTCTCTGCCTCTCTCCACTCCTTAAAGAGCTTGCTTCACAACCACCCCCATCCTGGTCACAGTCCCCTTATCTCCCAGTCACCAGGGCAACCAACTTCCCAAGGTCAGGAGGGGGAAAGCACAGGACGGGGCCAGGGTGAGAATTGGCCTTGATTCTACCTCTCATCTTAACCTGGCCCCATCCCTGGGCTTCAGCAATCCCCCCCCCCCAGGCAGCTACCTGGGTCGGCCTGGGGGCCCTGAAAGCCAGGAGCCCCCAGGCTCCCTGGAGGTGGCAGGTGGCTATAATTGGCATTGCAGAAGTCAGTGCCACAGGAGCAGGTGAAGAGAGTGGAGCCAGGGCTGGAGTGGGCTCGTGGTCTTGGGTCACAGTGGAGGGACTCACAGCCTGGTTCATCACTGTCTCGGCATCCTGATGGGACAGGATTAGGGGAAGAGGAGAAAAAGAGGGTGAGAGCACAATGAGATCTGGGGACAGAGAGGATAAATCCTCTATTAGAAGTATCCTTTCTATCTCACATGGGCTTTCTTTTCCTCCACACATTCCACTTCTCCCCTTCCCCCTTAGCTGCCACCCACACCCCAGGACATGCCTGTCTCCCACCCTAGCTATCACTTGCCATGTACTTTGCCATTCACCTTGCATCTCCACCTGGGCCCGGCCTTGGGTCAGGTTCCAAATCCCAAAGCAGCAGCGGCTGTAGAGGCATCGGATAACCCTGGGGGACCCTTGTTCTGCATCTAGCAGCTCCCCCAGTGTCTTTGTGCTTCCCTGCACTCCAGGGGCCTCAAAGAACACACAGGTCCGCCTGTTTGTGGGTGCTGAGGCCCAAGATGAGGAAAGGGAGGATTCAAGAAGGGAATGAATGCAGGGACAAAAATAGTAGCCTAAAGGGTAGACATAACATGATATCCATATCCCAGGGTCAGTAGTAAAGCCACAGGAGGAAACCCAGCCAAGCAAAGCAACCTGACCCCCACCCCACTGAGGGCACATGGCTCTACCCTTCACCCTCATGAATTCAGTCCTCACCACTGTTCCAAAGGGGTGGCTGCTGGTTCACTGGATGGGTAGAAAGACCCTGCCTCTTCCTGTAGACACTCACCTCCAGTAACTGCAGGAAGCAATGCCCAGAGCCCCAGTGTCCCCAGCATCCTGCTGAAGGATGGCAGAAGGAGGACGGCATAAGCCAGGACAGCTGCCCTGGCCAGAGCTTTCTTCAGATGCAGGACACAGTGGGGCTTCCAAGCCCTCAGTCCCCAACTCCGCCCCCTCTGTCCTATCCCAGTCTCTGTGGGGGAGATGGCTGCTGTAGGGGAAAGGGTGGGTGTGAGGAAAACAGGGAAAGAAAGGGAGGAGCAGAAAACCAATCTCATATCCTCCTCTCTTTAGCCACCTCCTCTTTTCTGTGCAGTACAGGAGGAGGGGGCTTGCAGGCCTAGTTTAGAACCTAGTGATACCTAACTTCAAATCCCGGCTCTTTGTTGTCCTTGGAAGAAGGTGCCGGAAACCAAAGTAAAGTCAAATGGTTAGAGAGTTTCAGCTCTGCACAAAATCTTGGGGTTTTTTTGGTGGGGGGAAGTGTTGAGACAGAGTTTTGCTATGTGGCCCATACTAACCTCAAACTCATGGGAATCCTCCTGCCTCAGCCTCCAGAGTGCTGAGATTACAGGTGTACACTACCACTCTTTGCCCAAGATTCCTTCTAACCCATATTATTCAGGCCTCAGACCTGTAGCTCCCTAGGTAGGAGACTTCACAACCCATACTATAGTTGATCTCATTTTCCAAACTCAAGAATTACAAAGTATATATTAAATTTCTCAGAGTTTAAAAAATCATGTTAAAAAAAACATGTTGAAAATGGTTACAGAGTTAGGCATGGTGTCACACTCCTGTAATCCCGTCACTCTCTTGGGAGGCTGGGGCAAGAGGATCACTATGAGTTTTGAGACCTGGTCAGCCTGGGCTACATAGTGAGACCTTGTCTCAAAAAATTTTTTAAAAGGTTGTAATGGCAAATTTTGTTATGTATATTTTTCCATAATCATAATAAAAACAGCTGGGGATGAACCTCAGTGGTAGAGCACCTAGGTTCAACTCCCTGTGCCACAAAACAAAGAAAGCAACAACAACAACAAAACAAAAACTTACAAAATGAGCAAATAACCATTATTGAGATCATAACAACTTTTTATTGAGCACCTAGTGTGTGCTATGGCACAGCCATGGTTATGCATTTTACAATCATCTAATTCTACCACTGAGGCATTTATTACTATCTCTACCTTATAGATAAGAAAATTTAGTTTAGGTAAGTTGCCCAAGGTCATTCTGATAGAAAATAGCTTGAGGTGGGACTTGAACCTAGGTAAATTTGATTCCAAACCCCAGGTTCTGTTTTTTATGCTACCTGAAAACAAATACAAAATTCAGCAATGAAAAAAATAATTCCATTTAATGCAACATTTCAATATTTGAATTTGAATCTCACAGTTTTTTGTTTTGTTTTGTTTTTTGTACCAGGGATTGAACTCAGGTCCTTGCGCTTGCACAGCAGGTAGCGAAACCACTGAGCTAAATCCCTGGCCCAATATTTGAATTTGTATGGTTGACAAAATTATGGATTATCTGCCAGGAGGTCACTAACTAGAAAGGGAGCAGACAGTTCAAATTCTCACCACCAGAGGTCAGCAGATATAGGAGGAATTCTGTGGCAAAAGGGCACAAACAACGCCCCCTCTTATGACTAATACATACAGTACACCTCCTGTTAAGCATTTTTTCCCCAACTAAGTATTAAGCTGCAGGACTGTAAAATGCGTAGGGCGGGCACAGGGTGTATAAAGGGGATTGTTAGCATGCAGATGGAAGAAAGTCTGTGGCTTGTGTTGCAATAGAGACAGGAACCCAACTCCACCAGATTCTTCCCCCAAGTAAGAAACCATAGTCATTTCCACATCTGTGAGCAGCTGGCTCCCATAAGAACTAGAGTCCAAGTGGACTAGTTCTCTGTTTTCCTAGCTTTCTGTCCCCCTAGTGGCGGCCTGGAAACCCTTCTCAGAATGATCTGGTTTAGGTCAGGGATGAGAATGTGAGTACTACACTGACTCTGATGCTGGGTCTTTCTCCTGGGGAGCCTGAGTGTAAAGAGGGAGGCCTGAGAGCTCCAGCAGTTGTGAAACAGCAGCTAGAGGAATGACTAGAGCCAGAGATAGCTGCCCATCCTTCCTTGGGCCCTTCTAGGAGTCTGCAGGGCCAGGCCTGGATTGGAATGTGGTGCTTCCTTCACCCGCTCTCAGATCAGATAAATCTAGGGTGGTGGAGGTGGGGGAGTTGAAGATCAAATAGTTTTTTTGTCTGGAATGTCTCAGGAGACTATCTCCTCCAGAGTGGGAGCAGGGTAAAGATGAAACAAAAAGGCAGAGTCGCCTCAGCAAAACTTTAAATAACTACTCCTTTGGAAAACGGAAACAATCCAGCCAGGTTGACAGGAACTGCTCTGTGCAGTTAGGGTTTAGAATAGAAATGGTAGGGCTGGGGCTGTAGCCTTGAGAACCCAGTACTTACGAGGTCCTGGGTTCAATTCCGCAGCAATGTAGAGATGGTAATGACAGTTGAAGGATTAGGAAGGTCCTGAAGAAGGACCACAGCCTAGGAGGGAATAAAGATTGCCCTGGATTCTACATACATAGTGACTTTCATTAGGGCCACTAATTCAAGTCAGCAGTGACTGAATAATTTACCTTTGATCTTACTGACTACAGAGCTAAAATGAGTTGTTTATTCATTTAATTCACCAAATATCTATTAAATTCCAGTCCAGAAAAAGTATTTTCTTAGGTGCTGGGCCTTCAAAGACAGAAAGGATTCCTGTCCTCCAAAATCTTGTAGTTTAGAGGCAGCCTGGTGTGGTGACAGCACCCCTATAATCCCAGCACTTGGGAGGCTGAGGCCTGGGCTAGCTACATAGTGAGTTCAAGGACAGCCTGGACTACACAGCAAGACCTTGTCTAAAAAAAAAAAGACATATATCAACAAGCAATCAGAAAACTATGTGTCATACTAGGGAAATGAATAAGAACTATACAAGTAGAAAGATCATATAAGCTAATTATGCCTAAGACCTAGAAGATAAGGCAAGAAATTTGCCAAGAGGGCTTCAGAAAAAAAGGATATTTAAATCACCTCACAGGTAAACAATGATTTTATTTTTATTTATTTATTTTTGGTACCGGGGATCAAACTCAGGTCCTTGCACTTGTGGGGCAGGCAGTGGAACTACTGAGCTAAATCCCATGCCCTAAACAATGATTTTAAGAGGAGGGTGGTTGTTTTAAGCAAAGCAAAAGGCAAGCATGTGTGTTTGGGAAGGGCAGGGGTGAAGAGGAAATAATGTGGGATATGAGAAAGAAAATCGCCATATAGATAGACTGGGACCAGATTAGAAGGTTTTCAATTCTAAACCAAAGAGCTTAGAATTTTCCTACAAACGGATGGGGATTTAGCTCAGTGGTTCCACCACCTGCAGGCGCAAGGTCCTGAGTTCAATCCCCGGTACCAAAACAAAAAAAGCAAAGGATTTTACGCAGGGGGCTCGGGGCAATATAAAAAATGGATAGCTGGGTCTTAGGGAGATCAATTACAAGACCTGAGCAATAATCATTGTTCTGAGACAGTGGGAAAAACACAGATGAAGTGAGGCATGCTCCCAGCTACTCAGAAGGCTAAGGCAGGAAGACTGAGCCCAGGAGTTCAGACCAGCCTGGGTTTGCTCTTTTTGAGAGAGTCTCCAGCTCATAAAATAAAGACAAAAATTTTGAGATACATTTTACAGGTAGTATCAAAGGACTGGTAATCAAAATGAACGCTGATAGGTAAGATAGAACTAAAGATAATTGAGGTTTCAAGCATGAATGATCAAGGGGCAGGCAATATTATTAAAGAAGATGTGAAACACAAAGGATTATTTCCCGTCTCACATGTTGCTTCATTTTTGTATTAGGGATTGAATACAAGGCCTTCCCACTGAGCTACACCCCCATTTTAAAATTTTTGAGTTGCTAAACTGCCTAGGATGGTCTTGAACTTGTGATCCTCCTGCCTCAAGCCTCAAGGCTGGGATTACAGGCATGTGCCATCACCTTGTTTAGCTCTTTACCCTCGATTTAACTTAGTACCCATAGTAAAGGCTCAATAAATGTTATGTAAATGAATGGATGACACAACAATTATGAGTTCATTATAGGCTGCACAAAGAAAACCACAAACACACACCTCAAAACAGACAAGTAATTCTCAAATAAAATCAAATGTTAAGGGCTGGGGATTTAGTTCAGTGGTTTCACTGCCTGCTGCGCAAGCGCAAAGACCCGAGTTCGATCCCCGGTACCAAAAAAAACCCGCAAAAAATCAAATGTTAAAATGTTATATGGATGGAGTTGGGCATGGTAGTGCATGCCTGTAATCCCAGCACTTGGGAGGCTAAAGCAGGAGGATCGCCACAAGTTTGAGGCCAGCCTGAGATACATAGTGAGCTCAAGGCTACATAGTGAGCTCTGAACTACATAGTGAGACCCTGTCTCCAAAAAAAAAAAAGTTATATTCCTGATGGGTATATAAGAATATCAAAGGGCCAGGGATTTAGCTCAGTGGCACCTGCCTCGAAAGCACAAGGTCTTGAGTTTGATCCCGAGTACTGGAAGAAAAGAAAAAAAAAATCAAGCCAGGCATGGTGGCATGCACCTATAAACAACTGACCAAGATTTCTTGGTTAGAAAAAAAAGTGAAACCATAGCCGGATTAAAAATGAAGAAAGCTGTCAGTATAACTTAAACTCAGAAGGGGCTAGAATTCAGATTTAATGTTAGCTATAGGCTGGTATTAGGTATAAAATTTTAGGGCTAGATCTTGGCTTCTAAATATCATTCTCCAATAAAAGAAACTAAAGGCTTCTTAGAGAAATCATCATCCCTAGGGCTGGGTCAGGGAAAATACAAAATGAACCAGAAACATCTTGCATATCAGAAAGCAAGAAAGTCGTTGGACATGGTGGCACCTGACTGAAATCCCAGCTACTTGGAAGGCTGAGGCTAGAAGACCACAAATTCAAACCCTGCCTGGGTAATTTAGTGAGACCCTATAATTGTCCCAGAGGAGACCAGGGAAACATGACAAGTATAGGACATGCAGTGTGGTACCCTGGAAGAGAAAGAGATCTTAAATGGACATAAAGGGCTGAGGATATAGCTCAAGTAGTAGAGTGCCCTTGGGTTTGATCCCTGATACTACAAAACAATACAACAAAGTGCTCAAAAAACAAAAGGAAGAGTTGGGCATGGTGGCACACATCTGTAATCCCAGCACTCTGGAGGTTTAGGCAGGAGGATTGCCTCGAATCTGGGGCCAGCCTGGGTTACACAGTGAGTTCAAAGTCAGCCTGCACTGCATGGTGAGACCCTGTCTCAAAAAATAAAAATAGG